GGTTTGGTTGTATCCATGATTTTTTTTTGTACTTTGTGAGTACCCATTGATTCCTGGAATTCCCCAATGTTTTCTTATTTTTGCTCTTCTCTTTTTAAAGTAGGTATTTAAACTTTATGAGTGGTCGAAAAAAAAAAAAAAATACAGTTTATTACATAAATAAATGTAATAAACAGAAAAAATACATAAATACAAGGAGGTATACATTTTGAAATTTGAGGTACATGAACAAATGCATGAGTATCATACAATCAAATTTAGAATATTATATGTTTAGAGTAATTATAATGATTGGATTATTAAATGTGTGGGCTAAAGAAGTACCATTGGTCCACTGGTCCCAAATAAGACTGTAAAAATCCTTGGTTGATATTGCATGCGTTCAACTTATGATTTTGATTTAACTATCATCAGTACTCACGCTCTGCAAAAATCACAAATTCACTTTGTTTAAGTATATTTAACAGTACCTCAATTTCATAGCCCCTCTTTGATGGTATTTCTTCAATTATTGGGAATGTCTACTATTTGCACAAGGCACAACACCTGCCCTTATATAGTGTTAGGGGGCGTTACCTATGCTAATAATAAACAATCTGCCACACGCCTCCAATTTATGATCAAGTGAGGTTCAAAATTCAGCAAACCTAGGTAAGAGCAGATTTGAATGGTTCAGAACCTCCATCTTGAGTTGGGTTATCTTAATTTTTCTCTTAACTATGAATGTAGAGAAAATATAAGAGACCGTTGCTGCATAAGGCCCAAAAAGTCAGGCCTAGGCTTCGTTAATGCATGCCTTTTACAAGATCTTCGCCTCTGAACATCTTTTCCTATAGTTTTCTCTGCTTTTCTTTATCCCATCCATATTTTTCCTCCCATATTTTAATTATTCCACTCTTTTCTTCACAGTGCTTCCTTCCTTAACCTCTTTGTAAAGTAAACTCTTTATTGTTTCCCCCCCCCCCCATCTTCCCATCCCTCTCTGCAGTGAGGAGATCTCAGTCACAGCCTGAACACAGGGGAATACAGCTATGAGGCAAGGTCAGCTAACAGAGACACACCCACACACACACACACACACACACACACACACACACACACACA